ACAAGGGCAGGCCGAACCCGCTGGTTCAGTGGCCAGCTCCACTGCTCGGATTTCTGCGGCGCTGTGTAGAGGCACGGGAACGGGAAGTTAATCCTGGTCCTTCGTCCTTGTGTTTACAATACTAGTTTTAGACGCTCAGATAAACGTTTAAAAATGCACTCGACACCTCAATGTGCATCCTCACTTCCGCGTAATTGCCTAACGCATTGGTGTTTAGTTTGGTTTGGACTGTAACCCTTTTGGCGAATAATAACGGTCTCAGGGCTAAACATAAAAGAGATGAATAATGGTAGGGAAAAACTACATGCAACTGAGGGTCCATCTGCCGAGGCTTAGCCCTCACAGAGGCCTGTATTATGGTGTATGTGCTCGACACCCGATAACGTGAGGTTGGAGAGAGAAGAGTGGAAGACCTAACGCACCTAACGGTGCCGCGAATTATGAGCATTCCAGGACGCGGAGGTTAGCACGTGGCTCATCGCTGTACTCCTGCCCTATTCACCCGATGAAATGATGGCGTGACATGTGCATGAGTAGACCGGTACATCTGAATGCCGGCGAGCAAGTTCAATCCTCACCCAATTCAATTTAATTTTAGCAGTCCAAAGCCCAACGCCCATCGTTTCCCCACTCACCGCCTCACGCTGCCCTCTGTTGCAGTCGGCTGAAAGCTGAACTTCAGCAGCTGCGCCGCAAGGGTGCGCTGCGGGCGGGCCTGGAGAGCAGCCGCTCGTGTGCGCGCTGCCGGACGGAGCTGGGGCGCATCATCAACCGTGGCGCCGCCTGCCGGGCCTGCCGCATGCGCGTCTGCAAGCTGTGCCGCGAGTACACGGAGAGCGGCCGAGATTGGGTGTGCACCGTCTGCCACAAACACATGTGAGTGTTCCCGGCGCATCGGGGCCTGTTTGACATTGCCGGCGAAGTGATGTTGGGATGCGTTGATGTTCCTGGTCGGAAGTGCGTCACGGTCATCGCGGAACTCTGCGTTTGACGTAAAACATCAGACCTCTAATAGAATGCACTGCAGGCTACCCTGGCTGCAGCATTTTCGCGCGGTGTTGAAGGAGGCCGGGACAAGTACATCAGCGTCCGCGGCAACTCTTCGGTTTCTGAGGAAGGATGGCTCAGCGATGGCTTTAACAGGACACTGGCAGCACACAGACTCACTGGCGTTTATAGACATCCCCCCGTCCCGAAGAACATTGGAAACGGCAAGCGTTTTATCCCGGCCATTGCTGGTTATTTGCAGTAGCGGATCCAGGATGTCCCCAAGGCGAGGGTGATTGAACTTTTCGTGGCCATAAAATGGAATGGGCCCACACAACTTGAGAGGTGATGTATTTTTATCCTGTATATCCCAAGTATTTTTACCCCACAGTCTTGGTCGTGTGCAATTATGTGCTTGCAAGGGAGCAGCGAATTAATAAGTTTTGCGCGCTGTGATGTGTTGCTTTCATGCGTGTGGGGCAAGCCTTGCTTCCCAGAGACGCGATTTTTCAGAATCCTGATCAGTTTTGCTGCGCTCCTCATTTTCCTCGCATTTTGGACGTAGGAACGGTGAGAGGGGGGTGGGGCGCTCACTTTCAGAGAAATCGGAGCACTAACCCTATGGCGAAGCATGGAAACAATCAACTCAGCCCACGTACAGGTGCCAACAGAGAAGCAATGATCCTCACGACTCTCTGCTTGCCCCGTCCACGTCATTGGGTCCATGATTCTATTCGAACTTGGGGCCTTGTGGCTCCAGTATTGAATGAGCCCACGGTTTTGAACACACTAACGCGACAATGAGCGCAGATGCATGCGAGAGCCCAGCAGCTTGACAGCGCCTAACTGGTGTTAACGCTTCGCCGTTTAGCCACCTTTTTATGACAGCGGTCCGGCGCCTTGCTATTTGATAGCGCCCAACGTTCCTATGTTTTTGCTCCGGCTCCGCGAAGTGAAACGCACACCTCCATCAGCCTGTTCCCACGATTACGCCATTCAAAGCATTTCCTGATTCGGTAATTGGGCAAGCGCTTGACCCCTGTCGTGTCAATGTCACGGAGATCACGGCGAATCTGGGTCGGCTGCTCCGGCGCTCCCATGGCCGCCGTCCGCGCTCAGCTGACTTCTCCTCGTTAAGAGGTCGCGCCCCTGGCAGTGGCACCGAGCGGCCGCGTCACAGCCACATCGCTGGCAGCCGCCTGAGCAGCGCCGGCGCCATTGTGCGCCGTTCCGGCCGCTTCCCCGCTGATTGTGCCCGCCAATCGGGGCCAGGCGCGCTTTGTCCCCGTCCCGCCACCGTGTCGCCCGGGGAGCGTTCCAGCGGCGGGCGTCCGGCCGAGGCGCCGGTGTCAAGGCCCGCCGGGGGTCGGCGCCGCTGACCCGCCGAGGCTGCCGGCGGCCGTCCAGGTGCCCGCGCTGGCGCCCGCCGGCCGGCGACGCTCTGGAAGTGGTCGATGAAAGCCGACTCGGCGGCTATCATCGTACGCCGGTTCCCACGTTCATGAGGGTGTGGTCGGCGCCACCGCCGCTGCGGTAGCATCGATAGCGCGTGGCGTACGCTCTCGTCACCGCATGACTCCCAGGCTAGCTCGCATTGTGCATACGCGGGCACCGCATAGTGCCCACGCCCCTTACGCCCAATTGTCACCACTAACTCCCAGCGCGCATTCACAGTTCTGCTGCCGACCTAGAATTCTGTGGCAAACCTGATGTTCTGTGTCATGCCATAGCATTGAAGCAATGCTACCAAACGCACATGGCCTCACTTACAGATCTCGTTATAAATGTTTTTTTTTTTTTAAAGTTGACGTATTTAGCTTTAGACGTCTTGAGCAAGCGCCCGACTTTCAATAGTAATAGTGCCGTATATTTCTTACGATGGTGCTTGGTCGCATTGGTTTGTGGGCTCGTTGAGCCAGGCGAAGTGAAGACTTCCCGTGTGCACGGTACATCTTTTTTGAAGGTTGTGTTTAAAAGTAGCGTGATAAATTGTAAACGCATGGTGGTCCGAAAGCTTTGACCAATGAACTTGACATGTTATCGCAACGAGCTAAAAACCTGCTACTCCTTGCTCGCGCTAATGATAAAAACGTACCACGTGTGGTGAAAACGCCAAACTTTTGATTTTTAACTCGCATGCCCAATTTTGTGCCAGCCACATGCCTAGACCATGAACATCGAAATTCGGCTAAGAGCTTTTCCAGCTCTTTACAGCGGTAAAAGCCTGGCACGCAAGGTTAAGGCAGCGTGCTACAGGACAGTTTGTTTTTGTACAGCTTGAAAAGTGCATGGACAAAAGCCATGCCCGCTTCATGGCATGTATCACAATGGAATAATGGCCTTTAAGAATGTGAGATAATAGTTTGACGTTTCAAAAATGGTGAAAATGACATCATCGACAAACCAAGACCGGCTGGCCTCTGAGCGCGTTGGTCCCTGATATGGTTGATATATTGGGCAAGTGAGTCCGGTGAAACCACCAATCTGTGTGCGTGATCTAGCTGAACAGGACAGATTGACCGTTTGACTGAGATCATCATAAAGATAACTCATCAGCTGAATTGCCACAACGTTGCGCAAGATGGGTTCCCAAACCCCTTCACGCAAGAACGAGAAGGCACCTGACGTCAAGTTTCTTCTTCGTGAAAGATGAGCACCATGGCCACCGTGTTCTGGGATCTCTGGATAGTAAACCTCAATAGAGCCATTCGGGAAACAGATGCTGGTTGAACGTCTCCTGCATACTCCTCCACCAGGGTAACGACCGACCCCATGTGGCTATCATCCTCTGCAGGAAAGTCGCAAGGCTTGGATGAACCATTGAACCCCAGCCACCTTAAAGCCCCAACGTCATCGGACTTCCACCTGTCCTGTTCCCTGAAAAAAACACCCTCAGTTCAACGCATCACACCACTGCTTACCACTGCTAAACTGAGAACACAGTCAAATTCGCCGCGGCAAGCTGGCTGAGTGGTTCCAAAGTCGAACTTTTTCGGGCGGGATTTCCGCGTTATCCGGAGCGCTGGGAACATGGTGTCCGCATTGATCGTGGCTAGGTGAGAAAGTAGCGTGTGGTCAAACACGTCAAAAGAAATAATTGTGTAAGGTTGAACGTGTCATAAGAAGGTATGGCACCCCGTACTTTAGTTATTGAACAACCCACATGCATACCCACATATTCATGGCACTCAGAATTCCATTGACCAATATGTTAAGTTCCGGAAAGGTCCGGATCGGACCCTCCGGCTCGGTCCGTTTCCGGAGGTCCGATTATACATTTTTTAGATGTTTCCAACAGGAAGGATACGACCTCCATCGTAGTCTATACTTTAAAATAGCTGATAACAGATTTTAGATGTCATTAAGATGATCTATTCTTTGGTGGCAAGGAACGCAAATTGGGAACTTTGCTGGGCTGCACTGATAAGGGCAGAATGTTCGACCACACAGAAGCTGCATAATATCCTTCGTAAATAATCCGAATGACTCATTGCTTTCATAAATCAGTATCGATGGATGCCGATAGTACTGAGCCGACTACGAATCTGACCCAGCTCTGAAAGAGCTTTCTTTCTTTCAACGACCGCGAAGGCCGCAACCGTTTGGGTTCGGGGTTTTGATCCAAGCTACGCGTACGTCAGGTCCTTGAATGGAAAGAGAAATGCAAAACATGACACAATACAGCCCACCCGCTATGATGAGCACACGCCTGAGTTGCAAATCACTCCCACTCATGCAAATGGGGTTCCTGAATAATTCATCACCAAATAGCATGCATTCAAGCCGTATTTCCATGCATGGGATAAAAACTACGCAGCGTCCTTCTGAGACATTGATTCGTCGGGCAGGTCCAGCGTGCCGGAGTTTACCGCCGACGACCTCCAAACAGCCACGTGAGGGCGAAACATGCTGCCAATTGGACCAGTTAGACCTTGGTCACTGATTGTCCTGACTGTACGCCAGTGGCTGACCGGACTTTCCCAGTGGATTTTCTGGCTGTTCCAATGCACACCGTGCATCCGGCGTCAGCAAAGGCCGCCAGTCAGCTCCAGCGCCGGCACGACCAGCAGCGCAGCACGCCAGCACGCTTCCCCCAGCGCCGGGACCGACAGGACCAACAATCCAGCACGCCTCCCCCAGAGCTGGGGCTGACACAGTCGCCGGCCCATGGCTACTCGCTGTGCAGCGTTACGTGACACCTTATCGTCACCGCTGGGAACCACGCACCTCGCCCGCCTGGGAGTCACGCAGCTGCCCGATAATCGCGATACTACTTAGCGTCGCCTGCTCGGCGGCGGCGCTCACTGCCTCACCATGCCGCATCGCCTTCTGATCTGCGCGCTGGCCTGCGCGCTGGCCGGCCAGACGGCGGAGGCGCAGATGGTGGACCCGCCCCGCTCGCTGGGCGAGCTCCGCCTGAAGAACGCCGCCTTCGTCGAGGTATACTCGAGCCAGAAGGGCGACGGTGACGAGGTGGACCGGCAGACGCTGTACGTCAGCAGCTTCAACCCGGGGAACATCATCGGTGACGACCTCGTCTACTACCTGAGGGCGCCCGGCAGGCAGCTGGACACCGTGGCCGACTGGGACATGCAGGTGAACCGCGCCTGGCGGCAGGGTAGGAGCAGCTGGACAAGATAGCGCGGGGAAGGGTAGCAGCAGGGGAGGGCAGTAGGGCAGGGTAGCAGGGCAGGATAAGAAGGCAGGTTAGCAGCGGGGCAGGGCAGCAGGGCAAGGTAGCAGGGCAGGGTATCAACTGGCCTGGAGTTAGCATCGCCCAGGCTAGTAACGTTGCGACCGAATTAGGCTGGGCCTGGGCGCGACTGTGCAATGCGCCTATCTATTCTATCGTGTGGCGTGGTCTTCATGTCAAAGTCCTAACATCATGTTTAGTTTCACACCATTAATACAACGTTCCACGTGTTAAGTATCATTTTCTAACGAGGGATGGTCCATCTGTTTTCCCACGCTGGTAAGTGGTAACTGCGAGCAGCCACACAGACGCCATGCGTCGACTCTTCAGGTCCTGGACCACCAGGCCGACTGGACCAACGACATCTGCTACACGCCGTCGGAGGCGACCGGATTCGAGGGTGTGGTGGTCACGTCCGGTTTCCTGGTGCCGTTCAAGACCCACGGCCGGCTCCAGCTGTACAACACGGAGACGTCGCCGCCGTCCGGACCGTACCTCCTAAGCGCGCTGGACAAGCGCGACTGGGCCTACCACCGAGCGCTGTGGCACGACATGGACGCCGACGGCGACCTGGACCTGCTCACCGCCCGCTTCCACCAGTCGGCGCTCACGCACGTCACCACGTCCAGCCTCGCCTACCTGGAGAACAACGGCACGTCGCCGGCCGACTGGGCCCTCTGGCCGCAGCACGAGCTCGTGTCGGGCGGGCCGGATGTCGGCTTCCGGATGGTGCAGCTGCAGTCCGGCGGCCAGACGCACGACGTCCTGCTCGCTGGCGAGTTCTGGAACGAGCGCCTCACGCTCTACTGGACCGAGAGCGGCGACTGGTCGAAGCCCGGCGACATCCTCTCCAGGACCATCGACAACACCACCGGCCAGATCTTCGACGTGTTCTACAGCGACCTGAACGGCGACGGCGTGCCCGAGGTGTGGGCGTCGGCGTTTGACCTGGCCGCCAAGAACGGCTCGCTCTACACGTGGGCCGTGCCGGATGACTTCGCCACCGGCGAGTGGAGGCGCACCACGCTCGACACCAACTTCCACCCGAACTCGATGCTGTTCGGCGAGACGATGAGCCCGGGCAGCGCTGTGGCCTTCCACCCGAGCGAGACGGCGCGTGCCGCCGGCCGCAAGCCGCTCATCCTCCTCTCCGGCGACGACGACGGCAACCACTACATCCTGCAGCCGACCAGCCAGGCGGCCGACGACTGGACGTATGAGCGTCAGACGGTGGTCCAGACGGGGCAGACGACGGCCGGCCAGGTGACCGTGGCCGACCTCGACGCCGACGGCTACACCGAACTCATCCTGGCCGGCTACACCATAGGCAAGCTGTATGTGCTGACTTACGCGCCCGCCCCGGCTGCGTGAAGCAGAGGTCGCGACAGTACCGGTCGTGGGCTCGTGCCTGTTTTAGTTACTGATCTGCAACTTGAGCTGGAGTCGTCGCATGCTGTTGATATTGTGTCACCATGCACTATTTACAACCGTGTTGTTGAGTTTAATGAATATACCTGACATAACCGCGCCGGAAGTCTAAGCTGCTCAAATGTTGAGCCCCATTGCTTTTCGAAAATGTCCACCCATACTTTTATTTTACCAAACACCCGCCACCCAATCAGATTTCAAAACTCTTATGTAAGATAGAACGCGTGTCTGAGTACGGCCTCACTCACTTGTCCGTGGTTTGTGTGCTTGGGCTATCTGTCGCGGCTGTGAATGAGCCATGTGGTGCCAGCCGCTGCCACATGCAGTCTCCGGTGTTAGGCTGTGATGACGCGCAGTCTTCCTGGAACGCGGCGGCCCGCCGACCGCCGGCCGCCTTATATGCAGCTTCGGGGGTCCGCCGATGGCTATCTCCCGCTGTAATTCTTTGGCATGAGCTGGCGCGCATGCCAATCGGCAGGCGTGCTGTCGGCGGCCGCCGCCACTCTCATGAGCGGCGTGCACGAGCGAAACGACCGCTGAGAGCCGTTCGACGCCAGGCGTGCATGAGGTGTGCGGATCAGCGGGCGCTGCCTCTGAGATCAGCGGGCATTGCCCTCAGATTAGCGAGCAGTGCCCACAGATCAGCAGGCAGGGCCCCTCAGATCAGCGTAAAGGGCCCCAGGTCCACGGCGGGCAGGGACAACGAAGTCATATCCTGCACGGAACAGCGAAAATGGCCTCCCCTCTCACTCTCCCTCCCTCTCCCTTCTTCCGCTGGCTCTCCTCCGACGCATCCCTATGTTCGGCTCTCGGGCAAGTATTTGGCTTCAGCGCTATGTTCAGAACTCGAGCCACCTTATCAGCTGGTTGACCCGCACTTCCCTCAGCTGAGCCACTGTGGCACTCACTGAACGCTGACAGCTGTCCTACAATGATCCCGGCCACGGAGCCGAGTCGCGGACGCCGGACCATCGCGCCGGCCCGGGCCTCTCTGGTGGACGGTCGCGGTCGGCAGGCCGGTCACGGGACCACCTACTGCATCTGCCGCCCACCGTCTTCCCCCCACCACCGCCGCACCTCTGTGGCGCTGCCGAATACCGTAAACCCGCCGCGCTGGGGAGGCGATGGCGTCATCCGGCGACTATCGGTGCGAGCCGCTGCCGGCTCACTATCGGGACGGGCCGGACGAGTACTCGCTCGGCGGCGGCCGGTGGCGCGGCGGCGCGGCGGCGCGGCGGGCGCTCGATCCAGTCCGGCGCGGAGAGCGTCTTCAGGGTGCACGGGCGGGTATCTCCGGAGTGAGAGGTGACCACGGGCGCGCGCGGCACGGGCTGGCCGGTGCAGATCGCTGCTGTTCTCCGCCACCATGTGACCTTCGGCGAGACATGGGACTGTTTGCAGGTACGTGAGCGCGCGTATTCTGAGGAGACGAGCAGCTTGAAGTGAAAACGGACGACCCCATGCGCCCCCTGTCCAGCACGAAAGATTGCTCAAAAGGTCACGGAGGTCAGGTAGAAACCAGCCCCGCGCGTGGTCGCCCGTCGAGGGCTCGCACCGACTGAAGCTGGTTGTGACCTGTGCTGGAACTCCATGTGTACGAGAGCCAGGAGATGCGTCTCAGCGAAGCTGGAGTGGAGTAGACCATTTCCACATGTGTAGAGGTGAATATCCACCTGTTCACATTATTCGACGGTGGACAACCGTTTTGTGTTTGTGGGTACGCTCACCCTGCGCGTAAAGGTGGAAACAAGCCAAACATGTATAAGCATTTGACTCCCGTGGATATTTTTTTATTTTCCTTCGGTTTTCATCCTGACATTTACCTGAAGAGAACACCACATTATTCGATGACCAACTGAGCTTACGTACATCGGGTTTGCTTCATTACTTTGTCTTACCATGTATGAGCATGACGTTAGGCACTGGTAAACTTATAAAAGGAGCACTCCTCCCATGTATGTTCTTGCTGCTTGGAAAGCTCGCCATCCATCTTCACCACGGGGGTTAGCGCCAATCAAAACAAATTTCACCGACTGTCGCGTTAAACTCACCGTGTTGGAGCCGCCCATCCCAGTGTAAAGGAATCTGATTAGAGCGGGCCTTTTGTGGTTCGGGATTGTGAGCTGGAATCCTCTGGACACCCTGCTGAACAAATTATAATCTGGCGGCTTTCACTCCACTCTTAGGCCAGCCAGCAACGAACAAGCACGTCTCTCAGATACCAATCAGTTTTCTCCCAAGCTAATCATGTATCTTGGGAGAAACTGAGCCGCATCGGTCTCGTGCTGTATTACGATGCGTGTAGTTTTTCCAGGAATTAGGCCTGCTTGTAAAGTGGTGCTACAAGGACATTTCGCGACAACCCAAGCAGCGCATCACACCCCACCAAAAAATCTGAAAATAATATTTCAGTTAGACTTATGCCATGCCGTTAAACCGCCTGCGCGAATAATAAAGCCCTCTGAGCAACGGTCACCGAGTTATAGCTCCTGGCATAGCCCTGGGATCACACCGCGGGTCTGCCTTGAGTAGTCTACAACCTTGACCCACTTACCCGAGTCGATACCAATAACACATTGGTAAGCTCAGCATGATGCATGCAACCCTTTCCGAATTTGAAATTGCCACTTTTTAACTTTTTGATGTTATGGTCTCGTGGTTTTTCGTACTTGATCAATTTTGACATGTGACACATCCAAGGTTTTGTTTCTACCTCAAAGCCAATTACGTAAGCTGTTAAGCGCAGCTGAGAGTTTTCGGGTTTTCTGGTCCCCAAAGATTATAATCACTCATTTTTACCGTGATGAGACCGATCCTCCGTTCACTGTCTATTGGAAATTCATGGACGAGCATGGTTGCCAGGCCCACGGGAGGAAACCTGTGGTACTGCTCCGGTCACTTTATTGTGACAGCCCAGGCGAACCAAGACTGAGCTCGGCTGCTCCCCGCTTCCTTGTCGCCTTCAAATGAATGAACTTTACAACGCTAACGACTTTTGTCCCGAGAAAAACTTGGTAAGAGAAAGGCCGCTTACAATTCTCCTGGCCCATCGTGGCGCCCTTTGCGCTGTCTACCAATACACGCATTTTTCCATGCAAGATGGCAAAGACATTCCATTAACAGGAACACCCCGAAAGTCCTCGTTACGGCCACATTCTTAAGCTTGTTCTTGTTGTGACATGCTGCTGCATGGCCATAAGTGAAATGATCTGCTTTCCTCCTGCCACGCGCTTAGCCTAAGCCTCCGGCACCAGTCGCTGAAGAGAAACGGGAACCATAACGGTCTGTGCTTTACTGCAACCAAAGATACAGCAGTCGCTCTGAGCTAGTGACCCCGCTGACCTTTCTCTAAGCTGACAATCCCGCTGTTCCCTCTCACTCCCACCAATCTACAACAAATGGGTGCGTGGTACACTGTGACGCCCCCCCCCCCCCAATGAAAGCCTCGCGCAGCGTCCTGGACCACAAACAAGCAGCTATCATGAAAACCATAAAAAACTATTACTTCTCCAGCTGCCAAAGTCTGGTAAGTCGCGCATAATGCTTGGACGACACCTGAACCCGATAGCGATGCTGCTTACCTCTACCATTTACTGACTCAACGAGCAGAGGCAGCCGTCGCCGCTCCTTGTCATGTCCTTCGGCGCGTATTTGTCAGTGCCAGCCTATAACTTGCAGCAGAACTTATCGTTACCATCATTCTTGTTATTCTCCTGTTGATGTGAGGATGTATCGTGCGAGTGGAGCGTCCTCGCCGTCTCGCATGGGGAAGGCGGGTGGGTGGCGTCGGTGGTGCTACAAACCGCGCCACGTACTAGGGGGCTGAAGCGGCCGTTCCCCAGCAGTCGCTGACGGCCGAGGAACGTTTCATTTCCTCCGGAAAAAGTCGTTAGTGTTGTAATGTCCCATTATATTCCACAGGAAAAGATGGCTGAGGGCTAAAGCAGAATTCAGTGGTCGGTTCGCCACGGCCGTCACAGCATGGGGTTCAAAGCAGTTTAACAACTGCTCGTCCGTGAACCTAACAACCACACTCGAGCTGCGCTCGTCCATAGCTTGTTCACAGGTCAGGGACGGAAACTCGAAGTCACATCGAAGTGAAACTAGGCGATTCCACGGCGGAGATGGGCAGTAACGAACTTTCACATAGCGCCTAGACACAGACATGAATGCTATGCCGCTGGCGAGGTTTGTTCGGTAGTTACTGGAATAACATTTTTGACGCAGGGTCTGGTTGCCTAGAAAACGTTTCTGGCTCTCTTGAGCCGACACCACGCGCATACAGCTGATTACTTTTATATTGAGTAGCACCGCCGCGTTTGAAGTGAAGTATGGATTCGAGTGATGCTCTACTACACTACGTTCTGGTGCGAGCCGGTTTAGCAATGCGCACGTCATGGCAACCTTGTTCTTTTGTACCATGAAGCACCGCAGCAACCATAGGGGGAGGGTGGAGGCGATGGTGTTAAGCTTTAAACGCATTCTGTGCGACCCAACTGGACGTTGTTTTAAATGTCACTAGAAATACTGACCAATGTTAGGCTCACTTACAAGTCCATAGTCAAGTGATTAGTTGGTTCCAGTGTTCACATCGTACTAGAACGGTGATAACGGTTGCAACTACAAAGGATTATACCTATATTTGCGTTTGATCTATTATTATCTCTCTATCGTGGAAGAAAACATCACAAGGTCACCTGGTCAAAAAGTAAAAACACACGAAAAACTAGGGACGACCAATATTCGCGTCATGTAAGTTTACAGGCATATGAGTTTTATCGAATCATATATATATATATATATATAAGCTACAGGTCGCCAAACAGGCCTGGAGCGTGGCCCTTTCAAAATGCCTGGGGCTATAACTCGAGAGCAGCTGTTCAAAGAGGTCTACAAGTTACGCAATGCCTTTAGGTCGTTATCTCATGAACCATTTAATATGTTGTGTTAAAGTGAGTGCTCCACATTTCTATGGGGATTTGCCCCGAAATAGTCATCTTAAATACTTTTTGGTGTAGTTTACAGGCCAGCTCTTCTGAAGACCTAAACCCCTCTAACTTAAAGGCTAAACGCCTTAAACCCTAGCCATACGC